GCCCCCCTGCAAGGTTGAAAGTACTGCGTCCTCTTAGCAACAGAGGTCCACACACACACACACAAAGCCATTTCGGCGGAAAAATTATGCTACAATATCAAGGTCGGTACTCCAGTGGAGGTCGATGCTCAGCTGTGTACTCTGACCACTGGAATCGAACAGGCAACTCGCAATTGAGCGATGAAAGTTTCTCGAAAAATTGCTTGTGCTCAGATCCTTGAAGTAGCCGAAACTGCTTCTTGTACAACCCGAACCTGGGATTGGAAAATCGCGAAACGATCTCAGTCTTCAAATCGTCCACGATACCTTGGGTATCCATGTTGAAGGCTGCGCTCAGGCATCCACACTGTGGCGGTAGATTTTCCACCCAAATGGTTATGTTGCGATCCGATGGGGTAGCCCTCTTTGGTGCGATTGGTCTTGGGGACGAATCGTTGGGATCGAAAGCAAGCATATCATCCGAAGCCCGCTTCATGGCTCGATCTAACAAGCAGGGACTTGCAGACAGAAACAAGCTACAGACAAGCACGAACAAGAAAATGGTATGCTCATGCCGCAAAACTAGCACAAGCACAGCAATCGGATGGCAAAGGAGGCTGACTTATACTCCTGTCCTCGGAAGTGCCATTCCCCTGTACAAACTCAAAAGATATCAGGTGGTTGCAAACGCTGACTGCGGAGGTGAGTCATAATCTTACAGTCGAGGCGGCAGATCTCCAACCCGATGCCGAAATAAGATTGTTTGTGAGTGGATTTTGTCCACTCAAAGTCGGCATTGTACATACAGCTGATTCGCGGAATGTGTCGGACGTTGATGACCGGAACATGCTCTGACAGTTGTGCCATTGGTTTTACCAATGGCTTTGCTACGGCGGCAAGTCTGATTAGCGCGCCGAGATCGAGATGACTCGTATAGAAATGTACAGTCCAGGTGGTATGCAGCGGAGAAGTGCGAACACGCCAGGGAAGCGGGTGTTGATAGCTTCCAAACCTCCGCAAAAAGGCTTGTGTACGCATCAGATTGTCATCCCACCGAGGTAGGCGTTCTGGTGTGACTGTCGAACCATGGGTCACAACCAGATGTAGTTCTTTCACAGCGATATAGCTCGCTATGATTGTAAGCGAATCCGGGGAGAGTCTCTCCATGGCTTGAGAAGAGAAGAAAAGAACTGGAAGCAGCAAAGACATACATCTGCAACTGAGCCAAACAAGATATGCTTGAATGGCTTTCTGCTGCAGGAAACACTGCACGAATACCTTAGCAATTTTGATGCAAGGCATGCAAAAGTCAACAGCGAGAAATCATCACGAATTAGGCTCGCGTTTAATTTCAGAAAGAGTATTGGGGCCACGAGCTGCATCTTCGATTCTGGGCCAGTTGACTCCCCAATCATTGCCATCTCCCCCGTCGAAAGTAACAGGTCTGGGGTGGGATGCTTCTGCTACAGCTGTTCGCATTGAAAGCGGTGCACTGTGGGTACTGGAGAGAACCCA